ATTAGTTTAGAGACACCAAGGCTCCCTCAGCAATTTTGATAGGCATTAACCTCCCTTCCAAGACCTGCTTTCTTAAGATGCTTTTTCGACCATCCGCAACCAATAAGATAGTGCATTCAGTATGTGACTATAATATTCCTTCTCAGCTAGTGAGTACTGCTTATCATGGACCCAAAATCTTTCATGTCCAGGACCAAACATCCTGTTGCAGCACTCCCAGCTTAGTGCAGTCATCGGCCAGGGATTTCAGTAGTCCCCTCCGGTGACGATTATCTTTCCCATATCTACTCATACCGAAAGGATTTCACGTTGCTATGCACCTTGGTCTGCCTCCGTATTGCAGCCATAGAGGAAAGTGGTTGGAGCATATGTGTGTACCATTGTTCACTCTGAATAAATCACACCAACCCAACGATGCAATTGCACTTTCAACCCAACGGTCACATTGCTTTTGCCATACTGTTTATTATCGTATGTCCAGGAAGGCCCCTTATAGCTCCAATTATGAAGATCACACTAGAACAAGGCTTCTCTGAAATTGGTATTTTTCTCTCAAATATCCAAGCTACTGAGAAGTGCTCATGTTGCCACATCGTCTCATAAAAATCACCTATCATCAAGTGTTCATGAGCATCTGGCTTTATTCTTTTGGGTAAACTCCAGATGTGACGTCTTCCTTACTCCTTAGGTTCACCATGTAGCCCGACACTTCGGGCCATGGGAATCATCATGAATTACTCCCTTCAGTCTATATTACTTGTCGCTCAGACGGATGTATCTAGCACTGAAATACATCTAGATACATCAGTTTGAGCGACAAGTAATATGGATCGGAGGTAGTAAGACATTGATGTACCTCAGGTCATATGGCAGTCTTTTTTATTTTAGTTCATTTATCTCAAAACAACGCAACGCACCCTTGCCCTTACCATCATTCACAATACAATTCTGGCGGCCTAGCATCCACCTAAGATTATTGAAACTCTGTTCACATTGCTGAGTTTCAGAAAGTAAAACGATCATCAAGTGGTATATGTGTGCACGAGGAAAACTAGCTCTTCAACTATCCGGGACTGCCCGAGGCCCCAACAGTTCTAGATCAGGCGACTCATTTCTCCTGATAGGTGCTTCCTTATCACATGTCATTCATCGGCAACCAATGGGCCGATAGCTTCCTTACCGCCTAACACACCTATGTTGCTCATGCCACCTCCATTACCCTCACCTCATGCCTTCTTGTTTAGACCAGGACTCTTCTAACTAGGTGTCACCACAAACTCACTACCAGACTCACTATCATGTCCCATGCATTTACCCAACACCGCCTCGGTGTTCACCAGGGATTGATCAACTTACTCCCCTGGCTTACCCTTGAGGCTATTCTTATCTTTGTGGTGCTTGGCTTTCGTGTTACTGGCTCCAGGGGTATGGGAGGAGCCTTGTTGAGGTTGACTTTGCCCACTTCATTTTCCTTGCTGGTTGCCGGACTCACGGAGTAGGCCTGGCCTTGAATCACCTCCGCCCTCCGGGTTTAGCCCCGGCAAGGGAAGGAACCAAGTTGATGTCGAGTTCTACCCCCTTGATCTGAGTTGTACATACAAGCAGCTTTGGAGTGATTGCCGGTATCGTGGATGGGACCTTTCCCACCTCCTGCTGGAGTTGGGAACCCATGACAGTCATTGGTGGTGCAGGGGCCGACGCTAGTGTTAGCATAATCTTGATTGTTTTGGTTCAAACATGATGTAGTTGGTGCTTGCATGTCATGTATCTTTATTTCTTTGGGGACTAACCAAAGTCATGTACTAGTAGGAGTTCACGTGTTTGAGTCAAGCTTGAGTTCAAATATGTAGTATACCATGTGATCTAGGTTAAGTCAATTTCCGTGTAGGACATGGTCTCGTGGGTTGGCCGAGTATATATATTCGCTGACCGGTGCCACGGTCCACAGTCAGACAGAGTTCTCCACCGTGCAAGGCTGCCCAGGATCATCTTCCTTTTTTCCGCCATCATCCCCATTGGGGGTGACTTCCTCTGACGCGTTCATCGCACTTTTGTTCTTGTTAGCCTGACTCTGCCATGGATGATTTGGGGATCTGAGTGTATGTGTTTTTGGTGGATGCGCGATCCTGTTGTGTTTATACTATATGAACATATGAAACAGTTCAACGGTTTACCACTATCAGTGTAGAACAATATTAGAATTTCAATATTGCTTGCACTTTTTAATTTCAAATGTTGATGAAATTTATCACGTATCTGTGGGCCCCGAATAGAGGTGGAGACAAGAGCCAAACCTGTTGCGCAACATATATAAATAACATTCGGTGGAAAGAAAAATACAGAACTTGCCTTTTCTTTTCAAATGTTGATGAATTTTATCATGATCAAATTTTCTTGAGGCAGATGCACATTTCGATGGCAATATTGTAGTCTTTGCTCTACTGTGTATTATGTTTATAGTTTCTACAAACATTTTTATTGTGTTTGTATAATTATCATAGCTGTAGTAGTACCAATTTAATTAAAATAGTGATAGCAATTTATATTATATAGTTAACTCAAGTCCATTACTAAAATTGTTGTCCTTTCATGATCCTCAATGCAGAATTTGAAGTTGATATCATGCAAAACATCAACCGGAGCTCCAACACCCCCATCTCCGTGCACCGTGTTATGTTTGGACCCGAAGGCTGGGAGGACCTACCACATGGATTATTGCACTCCATCATTGTCCTGTTGGGTTCAACCCATGACCTTCTTGCATTCATCGCCACCTGCCCTAGCTGGTATGCCGCATTCATGTCAATCAATTCTACCTTAGGCGAGCTCTTCCCACCTGTTATTTTCCGGAACTGTGCCGACCAGACAAGCTCAGCTGGCTCTAACATTGGAAACACATGGGAGCTCATTGATCCTGTATATCCAAGTACTCCGTTGTGTCGCTTGACCCCTCCAAGTATTTTGGACAAAATGGCAGTCGTCAAATGTTCTTATGGTCATGCGATTTTCTGCAACGAGAGATCCCTTGTCATTATGGACGTGCTCACTGGCACTACAGTTGCAGCTCCACCTTTCCCATTGAGTCAACTGTGCTACAAAACCTTCATATCTCCAGAGGCGTCACCAGATTCATATCTATTTGTTAGCAGCCCGCACTGCCTGTACGCTTGGCGAGTTGGGAGCCCCTCTTGGTTGCACTGCGATTTTCTAAATGCACATTTGATCAAGGAGATGGTGTCCTTCAAAGGCCGGGTCATTATGAGGATGCGTCAAACACTATACACCGTGCATTTGGCACCTCAGTTTCATGTTGAGGTACTAAGAGTTGATTGCAGAGATTATATGGACCCGTACGTGCTTTCCGGAAATTTGGTGGCTTGTGAAGACACACTTCTCCTACTTGGTCGTAACGGGGAAGCCTTCTCTATTGACTTCTCAACTGAACCTGCAAAGTATGTGAGCGTGGAAGAGGAAGGCTTGAAGAAGTGGGCGTTCTTCTTTGGCGAGAAACGTAATAGACAGCCACGACTCTTAGTGAATCCAGAGAGAATGGGTTTAAGAGGTGGCCTTGTCTATCAGTTGGATGAAAATGCTCGGGTATTTTCATACCCAGTAGATGGCAACCAAAATGAGGAGTTGGAGTCAGAACCTTGTTTTGCGACGATCAATGTTTATCTTGCTCGCAATCCTACATCCTTTGCAGCTTGGGTATGAGATAGTGTCATTGCAGCACGCAATTGTCTTGTTGTCGTTGGCTGCACTTGGGGACTTTTTGTCGCTATGTTGCTTCTAGTTTCCGCTCCTTTGACGGAGTACATCAAGATTTGTAATAATCTTTGTTTGCCACCCAGTGTACCTTCCTGGAGGCAAAACTTGTGCTACATGTTGCTGTTTTCGCTGAACCTTGTTATTAACTCCCGTTTTGCATACAAGAGACAAGGGTTTGCATCATGAAACAATACTAGCTTTTTGGGTCTTCATATCACTCTTCAGCATTTTTTGTGTGCACCATGTCAGATGTGCATGGGCTTTTATTTTAGTTATGTGCTTTGTGTGGTCCATACATCTATTTGTAGCTTGATCTCCTTCCAAACAGAGATAATCAAATGCACGCAGAGCTGTTTGCTGAAGCTATGTTCAAATGCAGATCTGTTTGGTTTTCGATGTCTGCCTAGTTTTTGTTGGTGCGAAATATAAACTTTGTGATGAATGCATATATGCTGCTTATATGTTTGTTGGCTGAACTTGCAGTCTATATTAACCTGATGTCTATGGACTTGCATCCTCACTCTAATTCTTGGTGACCTTGCAACTCTCCATATATGCTGCCAAGCTATGTTATCAATATTCACATTTCCACCCAATGAGATTGTCATATGCTCAAGCACATCACATGAAAAATCAACAACCATAGTACAATTACTCTTAGCTACCTATGTATGAAAGGGAAGTTACAGGCCTATCCCATGTTATCAAGTGCCCAGGTACAAGAAAACTCCACAATCTGTAATAAATGAGAAATAAAACATATGGGTCCCTTGTAATTGCCGCAGAAAAAAAGAGGAAAGTACATAATCTGATAACTTAATCTACACTTCTGTTTGTAATGCAAGTTTCGAGACGAACATTCAGTGAACTACTCATCCTGCGACTGCAACATTGTAGAATCCCCCCACCAAAGCTGTATCAGAAGCTAATCATCAACCGCACTCCCGGCCATAAGACCATCGCAGGACGTAACAAGGAAACGCGCAGGGAAGACCCAGGTTGACTCCAATTTCAGGTACCGTCTTCCAGTGTTGAAGAGCTGTGTCGAACGGTAATAGCATTTTTTCCATAGTTGGACTGCAGCACAAGGTTTTTCAGACTGATAACTTGGGAAGTATATGTGGTTGCTCCTTCCTCCCCATCCCTCCGGGTTCATGCACGGCAACGCCTCGCACCGCTCGTCAACGCTGATAAAGATGGCCCAGTTATCTAACTTGTTCACTTTCACCCACCTTGCCTTCTTGGTCATGGTGTCCAATGACTCAAGCTTGAAGGCCATGAACTGGAAGGCCTCCGAGCGCATCAGTCTTCCCGCCTCCACAAGTTTGATCAAGAGAAGCGTGTCACCACACACCACTAGCCATGCTTTTTCATTTGCCGAATAGAGATCTTCGGTTTTATCTTCCTCGAACACAACTTTAAACTTCTCAACAATGAGACTGGGTGACAAGTGAATGATGTAGAACCACCCGAAAGACCCTAGGGCATATGTCTTGCCCTTGAAGGCCACATTTTGTTCAATGGAAAAACGACCAACTTTAGGACTGTGTTTTGTCCATGAGTCGCTCCCGATGCGCCACAGGAACAGATAGGCTCCAGCACCAACAAGGAGATGCGAATCAGTGGATGCAACAGGGGCAGTTAAAGTGACATAGCTGATGCAAGTGAAGTGAACTGACTGGAGGGAAGGAGGACCAACCTTAGTGCCACTTAACGGATTAACAATATGGAACCCATTGTTGTCGTAGAAGATGAGCTGACCATGGGAGTAGCGCACAAAGGTCATGCTTCTGAGGTCACTCAAGGAAAGAAAACCGCGAGAGGATGAGGTGGCAGCAGGGTCAGCCAATCTCCATGTGCATTTGTGGAATAAGATCCAACAGTTATGCGAGAGAGTCTGTCCACCGTTGGTACGGAGATTGGGGTGGAGGAGCAGAGGCTGGACAGAGGACCTGTGCGCTGAGAAGAGATCGCACCAATGACGACAAGTGGTACCGAAGGCGAGGAGGTCACGGAACGAGCGTAGTAGAGCGACAATGGGTCGGAGCAGGTCGTCCGGGAGCTCTGCCCATCCTTGTGGCCGAGATGAAGCAAAGAGTGAGGAGGCAGAAGCAGAACATGTCCTGTTGGCCATTACTTGCACGACGGCGCTCTCCCTGTTCGACACAAAATTCAAGAAAAAAGTTAGGCATGTGAAACAAGGTATATAACTGTATAAAATAGAACATGAGTTAGCAAGATGAGCTACCAAGATTCTAAAAAACATGACTGGTGCGTCTCGTTACTCGTTAGGACATCAACGCGACACTAGGTTACCATCATACACTGAACTGAACAGAGGTACTAATCGCATTGAGTTGTCACTCCCGAGAAGCTCAGAATAAGATCAACAATGATGAAGGCAGGTATATAAATTTTATGGGGAAGTTAGATAGACAGGTTGTTGAAGTTTCAAATAGATCTTTGTTCATACAGATTACACACCACAATCGCCTAGTAAGTATTTCTCAAACTAATACTGTATCTGGCGAGTGTTGATACTGACTGAAAAATTAAAGCAGAGCACATATGATTTTCCTAGCAAATTGACAATTACTGACGGACATCTAAAGCAGGGAAAGTCTCAATCTGGATTGTTCTTCTTCTTTGAGAATAAGCAGAATCCATCTATGCCTTAATCTTGCAGATGCAGGCGGATCTGATGCAAGATCCGCAGGTGAACAGAAACAGGATGGGACGCAGAAAGAAGGAGGCGTACAGGGCGAGGTAGGGGTTGGGGGTATTACGTGAGCGACGAGGACGAGGAAGCAGCGGCCGCCGGCGCCGAGGAAGATGGATGCGCGTCGATCTCCCGCGGCTGCGCCTCCATGTGCGCCGCCGATTCTTCCAGCTCTCGGATGAGCAGCGCAGCCTTCAGAACTCTCGGATAACGCCGGCCCGGCCTAGTCCAGGGATAATGGGCCGAACATGGGTAAGAGATTCCTACCTGCTCTATGTGGCTGTGTGTTTTAAGGCCAACTGCAACAGACGTCCGCTTTGTTCGGAGTCTGTCTGTTTGAGTTGGCAAAGCATCCGTTTGTGGTGGTCTCATCCGACGACCCGTCACATTTGGTAAAAACATTCAGATTTAAACTAAAATTCAAAAAAAATAAAATGTAATTTAAACGATAACTATATATTACATCAATGTCCAAAAGTCATGCATCAAACTTAAACTTAAAATTATTAGAAAAAAGAACAAGCCTTCACCGCCGTCTTCACTCCATGGAGTCGCCACCGTCTTGGCTGCCATCTTCCTCATCCACGCTGGGGTCAACGAAGGGAGGCGGCTGCCACAGGTGCCCTGGTGGCACCTATGGCGGCTGCATTGCAGGGGCACGGAGGTGGTGGCATGTGGGGCCATGATCATGTGTCGGTGCCAACCAACACGGCCGACGCAGACAACAACTCTGGCGTGCACGACAAGGTCGAAGTCCACGACCAGGACTGGCCCACCACAACCGAGTTCCACTTGGGTTCCGCGTCTTCTGCCTCCTCCAGCTCGGGGATGACGACATCCCCGGCGGCCGAAAGCATGATCTGCACCTCCAAGCCATCCCACTAGGCGTTCTCAAACTTCATCGCTAAGTCCATCATGGCCCTCCTCACCCAGCTGCTCCTCGCCATCCTCGACCATCATGAGCTGATGTGCATCTGGTGGTGGTGGGAGTGACGAGAGCGCATGCCCGCTCAGTCGTGCCCTAAAGCGCGGACGGGGAGGGCTTGGAGGACACCGTGCCCTAGAATGTGACTGCGCTAGGCTAGGATGGCCGACAAAAAAGGTCTGCTGGCACACGTCATGCTCATCCCAGAACCAAGTGACCCAAATTGAGGACGTGCCGGTGTACCTGGGATCATCGATGAGATTCGGTGGCAACAAGACACGGGGGTGGTTTATCTCGAGGAGCCGCATACAACGGGTCACCGGAATGGCCGACACTGGCACCCGATCTGGGCTCATGTGCCAGCCGGTCGGCAGGTGGGCGTCCGACCACGACAACAGGGTGGAGGTATCCCAGTAGCGCCGGCACACCTCTACCTTCACATATGGGTGGATCAGTGTCCCGTCGGTGCGCCGAGCGATGGTGAAGCCAGTGGCGGCGCGCGGGCCTGAAGAAGATGATGCATAAGTATCGTGCTTCCCCGGCTTGGCCATGGCCGCCTGATGACATGGTCTAGGGTTGCTCAGGGTTCAAGGGGGGCAGGACGAGTGTGAAAGCAGGAAGATGCCATGGGGACGAGGATGTGGACGACTGGTCCACATCTTCATCATTAAAAAAGACACTTGGGTTGCGGTTCACTGGCTGATAGGCGGGCCTGTCCCACGCGTGCAACGTAAATGTAGGTGGTGGGAAGTGGTTGGGGGGCCGACATGCAGGACTGGGCAGACGACGAGAAGATGCGTGTGTGTCCGTCCATTGTCCGGATTGATGCAAATCTAGCCCATATTTCATCTGGATTTGGGTCAAGACGGACACGATGTGGACAAGATTCGGTCTTGCTCCAGCGCGTTGGGCCGTCCCATTTGTCTGTTTCAACCTAAACGGACAGAGCCAGACCAAATGGGGTCGCCTGTTGGAGTTGGCCTATGGGGCGTTCGGCTTGGATTCCCAGGTTGTTCCGCTATGAGAAGATGTGGGAGACTCGTGATAGATTTGATGGGTTCATCGAGGAAGCTTGGTCGGGTCGGGGTGTCGGATGTGCAGAAGAACTTGGAGGAAATTTCAGAAGAGAAAGACGGAGGGAGGGGGAGAGAGGTGGAGGGGGAGAGGACATGACGAGGTGGGGCTAGGGGATATTACGTCGGCGAGGACGAGTCTGCATCGGCCTATGACGTCGAGGAAGAAGGATGTGCATGATCTCCCGTGGCTGCGCCTCAATGCATGCCGCTGTTTCTTCCAGCTCTCCGACGAGTACCATAGACGTAAATGACAATTCCTAAATGGCGCCTTAAGCGCCCGTTCCTTCTATTTCCGCAATGGGCGGACGCCTTCTCCTCCGCGTGGGCCGGCCCATCTTCATTCTTTTTCTATTTTAAAAGACCAAAACTGCGTGCGAGGGCTTGGTTTAGACCGCCGTTCTTGCTTCCATGTACACGCTCCACTAACCACCCGGCCACCTCACCTTTTTGTATTTACTTAGAGCTTTTTCCCTCTTTTTTTCTTTTTTTTCTTATTTCTTGGAACGGTCCTGTTCGGGTTTTTTCTTGGAATGGTTTTGTTCATTTATCACTTTTACCTTTTTTTATTTTTCCTAAATGCATAATTTCTTTTTCAAATTTGTGATTTTTTTCAAATTCATGAATTTTTTTCCAAAATTGATCAATTTTTTCCAAATTTATGAACTTTTTTTTTTCAAAATTGATGATCATTTTAAAAAACTTGCTAATTTCGTTTCAAAACCAATGAACTTTCTCTTGAAATTGATTTTTTTCAAAATTGATGAATTTTTTTCTGAAGCCGATAAAATTTTCTCCATTTTATGAACTCTGTTTTTCAAATTTGATGAACTTTTTTTGAAATACGTGAATATTTTTGAAGTCTGTGAAATTTTATTAATGTGCATTTCTCAATTCATGATTTTTTTTTGATTCTTTCTGAATTTTTGTTATTTTTTTCAAAAGTTAATGGTTGACCGTGCAACTGGTCAATTGCCAATCGGTCAACCGTGATCGAGCGAATGAGGCGTCATGGGCGAGCAAACGAGGCAACCTGGGCCAGCCCAGTTTGCGGGCATGTGGGCGCTACCTCCCCTAGCCGGCGTTTAAGGCGCCGCTAGGAGGTCCCGCCGTAAACCAATTATTTTCCAACCTCGACATTTCCTTCTTCAGGTTAGAACACGGTCCGGCCCAGCCCAGGGATGATAGACTAGGCCATTCTTATTTTAGCTTTGGGCAACAGGTTCTCCTACGAAAAAATCAAGCTGAAAATAGCTATTTGAAATCGGCCATTTTCAGTGAAGTTGAATATGCATTCGGGCCATTTCAGTGCAATTGCCTGATGCACTTTCAAGTGTACTTCAGTGTGAACTAGCTTTGCCAATGAAGTTATTTCATAGGTGATTCAAAGCCAACTGAAACTGAGACAAACATGCATGAGCATGGCACGGTGGACACTTGCATATCACGCAACCCCTGTGAGCAACTTGACATATTGCGTTCAAAAACAAAACAGGAAACTTGACAATGGCAAAGTGCGACCCCAATTTTGTTCGCCTAAACTTGGAATGAATACATGCTCCTGAGGGATCGCATGATGTGCCCCATTTGGTCCATTTTTGTGTTAGTCCGTCTAAGTTGGTCTCTGATTTCATATGTTCCATGCCTAGGACATGGGATGTCCAAACTCAGTAGCATATCTTATCCATGAATATAGAAGCGGTGCGGCAAACTCCAATAAGTCATATTCCACAAGGCAACTCTTGGGCATGTCAGGATGAGAAGACTGGGTGTTTGACTATCCGTTCAACATGTCATATGGTTGTGGAAACAAAGCTAAGATGAGAGGGGTGGCTTCAGGGAGCAATGGAAGCATTGAATCTTGAGAAGTAAGAAATTAGCTGGAAGGGCACCGGAAGGTAAATATACCTCCAAACCTTCGAAAGTACTATTCTGCTCCCGACCTCAAATGCACCCGCATGAACAGTAAAATTGAAAAAAATAGTTACAAAATTCAAAAAAATCTGAATTTTTTTTTGTGATAAACTTTGACAAATGTTTTGTACGCTTGCAAAATTTCAGCACAAATGACATTCATGGAAGGCGTGGCGAAAAAAACAAAATCGTCACTCCAAAATGTGTTCAAAGCTAGCAATTTTTGGAACATCGATTTTGTTTTTTTGCCACGACTTCCACGGATGTTATTTTGTGCTGAAATTGGCAAGCAGGCAAAACATTTGTCAAAGTTTACCGTAAAAAAAATTCAGAATTTTTTGATTTTTTTTACTATTTTTCTGATTTTATTGTTCATGAGGGAGCATTTGAGCTCGGGAGCATATACTCCATGTTCCCAAACCTTGCATTTTTTGCATGACATTTCGCTCACTACCGACTAGCGAGGAAAGAGTCTGCAAGCACATACCACCTTCAGTTGTGTGCCTGATCCACATTGAGTGACATGCTCTCCTCGATTGCAATTTGGCAAGTGTGTGGGTGCTCCGTGAGGAAGATATCACTCTTCCTCTATTTGGTGATGAAACTCCAGATGCTAAGTGGTTGTTGTTTGAACTATGTAATTTCCTACACAATGAACTCTTTGTGGAAGTGTTGGTGACCCCATGAGCTATTTGGTAGGGACGACATTGAGCAATTCATGAGAAGGAATTCCAAAGTCCATTATCTACAAAATTGTTTACTAGCGGGTAATTTTTGTAGGGTACAACAATTGTTTTTATTGCCCAATGAGGTTAATAGGAATTGTTACAATGTCATGAGGCTCCAAGAGCCAAACATGTCTTCCAATATCTGAAGACATGAGAAAATTTAGCTGGATTATCTACTTGAAAATTCCTCCTCCTGCTTTCATGAATGAAATTGCAACCTTTTTATTAGCGGGTACTTTGTGCACCAATTCCAACTCAGTTTATTTCAACTTTTTAAGGAAAGTTGATAAGCTTTATTGATCAAGGATTTTTACGGGAACTATTACATGATCGGGGTATCAAGTCACAGATGGCGCCCCACATCCAAAGATAGAGCAAACTTAGCTAAGTTTTGAGTTTCAAAATTACAACTTATTTTCTCAAAGCAAACTCATAAGAAATAAATGATCGAGACAATGTTTGAATCTCTCTAATGATGGATCTATACCTTCCCAGTGTGCCTTCAGATAT